TTGTTCCAAAGTAACACCACAGTGATCTCGAGATGTTTTCGTGGACAACACCTGAGACCAAATGAGAAACTCCTTAAACCGTCTTTTAACGAAGGAAGCAACAATTAAAGAAAAGGTTCTTGGAGAATTTTAAACTTTGCATTTAAAAGTTTTATTACAGTGCAGAGAATCTTTCTGCCTGTAGAAATCAAACAGAACCAGTTTGATTGAACAGGTTTTAATTTTGGTCCCAGTAAACAGGCTTGTCCCCCCCCCCCCTTAAATCTCACGTTTATCGGGACTTGAGCTGAATCTGAAACGAGCCATGATTAACCGGCTAATCAGGACCGACCAAAACAAACCAAATCAGCGAGAGCAAACCTCATTACCAAAAATCCAAATTGGTTCCGTTAATTGGACAAAACCGCCCCCCCCCCCCACCACCACCACCACAGCCTCTCCCGATCCCGTCCTCCTCCGTCCCGCTCGACTTTAGCTGCTGTTGTCTGTCGACGTGCGTGAATATTCAAATCGCCGTGATGTTTGATTAGTTTGTTTCTTAGAGATCAGTTGTTGCATCTGTCGGAGAGAGGGGGGTGTGTGTTCGGACTAAATTATGTAAATTACACCAACGACGCCACCGAGCAGCTGGGAGGACAGATCCTTAAAAACATCAACCTCTACGTTTCCCTGCTGAAGTTCAGACTCAAAAAAGAAGCTAATTGTACTTTGGCTGCTATACAATGTAAATGTATAGAAACTTTAGCACAAATGTCTGCTTACTACATGCAAACAGTTTCTTTAAAGTTCTGTTGCTCCGAGAACATCATTAGAAAGTTGTAAAAGTTTAGTAAAAAACTTGAAAAATTAAAGAAAATTTGGTTTACAGCCTGAACATGCATCAAGCCTAAGGACACTAATTTAGGATTTAATTTTATTGTAATTTAATGTGAAAAAAATCCAGTGATTTGATGTACAAAATGTAAATAAATGACATTAACGACACCGAATAAGACAGGCAGAAATACAAACTAAAAAGTCAACCTCAAACATTTTCTGTGAAAACTAGAAATCGTATTCGAGAAACTCCTGGACTGTTACAAAGAGTCTGATTGTTTTATTTGTTGATGTAAAAGGTTTCACAAGCTAATAAAACCATTCACTTGTAATTTTCAGGAGAAATATTTAATGGAAGTTTATCGGGAAAGTTTGGACGTTCACACTTTGTTCTTGGGGGAGTTGAGAGAAAACCATCAGTCCTTCAGCTGTGAGGGATAAACTGGGTGTAGGAAGACAAAATACCTACGTTTTAATGTACAAACTGTTAAGAAATGGCAGCACTAACTAAGATAGGCAGAAGTGCAGACTAAAAAGTAAGCCTCAAACTTAAGAGCCGCTGTGTGAAAACTATAAAATGAACTGGAGAATTCCTGAACTGTAAATGACAGAAGAGTCAAGTTAACGAGGACCTTCACTTACAACATTCAGGAGAAATAAATACAATGGAAGTCGATGTGCACTTTCTATGTTTTTTTTTTTTTGGTTGGGGGGGGGGGGGGGGGGTGAAAACCATCAGTCCTATAACAGTCAGAGAAAACCAGGTGAACAAAGACAAAAATACCTAAAAATACTTATGTTGTGACGTACAAACTGTACAAGTAAAAAATATTGCATTAATAAATCGTTAACTGTGATTGTGTAAAAACAGTTAAAGATCTTAAAACACCAGTCCAGTCGTGTAAAATCTAACTTTCCGTGACCCATTTCAACTTTTTAAACGGGCTTTTACCCACTTGCTTCGACTATCTCATTGTGAATTTTATCTGATCCAGCTGCTCGTTCTGATCCGTTTCAGGAGGAAGTGACCATCAGCGTCCTCAGAGTTGGTGATGTTCTTCTGGTCACAACTTTGTTCCGTCGTACTGAGGAGATAAAAAAAAAAAAAAGCCAAACTTAGGCTCTGAGTTCCAGTTTTAAGGTCAGAGTCTGATGAAACTGCGAGGGTCTCGTCTCCCTGCCGGTCTGCAGGGACCGACCTGCTGCCGGGAGCGCTCAGTTCGCCTCACAATGAGTCCCAGATGGGCGGAGTCTTGGCTCCAGCTCTGTGTGTGTTTTTCTGCTTCGGCCTCATTAGTTTCTGTCTCTTCGTCTCTCTGGAGTTCAACAGTTCAACTCGTCGCCAAACAAAGAAACTTGTTAAAAGGCGACAGTCTGAACGCAGAAACTCGACTTTAACTCTCGGATTCAAGAATTCAGCAGAAAATCTGCCCCGACGAGAAAAATCACCAATTCTAGTGTGAACACATAAAAACCGCTGAAAGAATCTGAAACTGAGCTGTCAGACTAAAAAAACAGACTCCAGCTAAAAGTTAATAACAACTGACCACTAGCTAGAAGCTAAAAGTGACTAAATAGTAGCTAAAAATTAAAGCTCAACAGATAGCTAAAGTATCAGTAGGACTAGTTTGAAACTAAAAGTAGCGGAGTAATACCAAAACAGTATCCAAATGTAGTAGAACAAAAACTAAAGGTGCAAAATGTAAGCTACAATGAGCTAAACGTTAGCTAAAAGGCTAGATAAGCTAAATGTAGCAGAATGGTAGCTTAAAATATAAAAAGGCTGGCTAAAAAATTTAATAGCTGAACGCTAAATGTAGCAGAATGGTAGCGTAAGATAAAAATAGCAAATTTATTGCTATAAGTTAAAAGTTGAAAACTAAAAGCTAACAAATTAGCTACAGTATTATGAGGCTAGCTATATAAGCTAAAAGCAGTCGATTGGTTGCTAAAAACAAAAGGATGGCTAAAAGCAGCTAATAGTATCAAAGGGCTGGCAAGAAACTATTATTAGCAAATGTTTGGCTCAAAGTAGCAAAAGGCTAGTTAAAAGTAGCATATTGGTAGCTACAAACTAAAAGCAGGAAAAGCCTAGCTAAAAGCTGCAGCATATTCGCAAAACAACAGCTAAAAGTAGCAGGACAGTAGATAAAGCAGCAAAAGATTAGTTAAGTGCCCAAAGGTTAAGTAGAATGGTAACACAACAGTAGCTAAAAGATTGGGTAAAAGCAGCTAAAAGTACCACAGGGCTTACCAGAAGCTAAAAGTAGCATTAGCAGACGAAAACAGCCTCGACGACGATGGCCGAGGCAGAGTGATAATGTTTTTACAAGCTTTCGTTAGTCTGTACTGTTAGCAAAATATCTCACAAGTCACTGAATGGATTGTAACAAAACTCTCAGAAAAGAAACTATTTGGACTAAAGATGGCCGCCACAGCCGACTGACAGAAAACACAAAAAATGTTTCAACCAGTTTTCTGGATCTGGAGAGATCATTTGGTGTGGTTGTAGCCGAGAGTCGTCCCCTACGTGCACTCCGAGTGCCGACTGTCGATCTGGAGCGATGTCTTATTTCTAGTTTAACAGTTTTAGCTGTAGCTCCTGACGTCTGCGTCTTTCGTCGCAAAAGCAGCCGAACTTCTACCCAAGTGAATCTGAGAGGCGGCGTGCAGGAAGTGGCTCCAGCTGTGAGTCACATCTCCCTTCTGTAAACAGCCGAACGTCTGATAAATGGTCAGCGCTGATTAATTTCTGCCTCCTGGGGGTTTGGAGGAAAACACACGCTCGGGCTGTGATCAATGGTTTCCATGTGTTCTGGAGGCTGCAGACCTGCGCACGTGAACGTGCAGGGATGAAACGGATTAAAGCGAAACGAAGGCTTCGTTTGATTCTCCTGCTGAACAATCAGCTGCTGTTGGGTCCGACGCTACATGATCGCCCGCCGCCTAAAGAAGGCGGGAGATGTTTACAGGTTCACAAAACAAAAACAGATGTTTCCATTCCCGTTTGCTGATGTTAGCCGTGGCGGCCATTTTAAAATAAGCTGTCTCCAGAAGTTGTAGTCTCATTAAAATACGTCCATGAGATATTTTGCTGACAGACAGAATAACCCGCTTTTCATGATGTGGAGAGAATTATTTATATTTATTTATTTATTTTTAAATTATCACTGTGAATTTTTGTTCTTTATCGTGATAAAACAACAAAATTATGTTCTTGTTCATTTTGCTGGGCGGTAGCTAAAGGGTGCAGATCGGTAGCTAAAGGCTGCAGAGCGGGAGCTAAAGGTTGTTGACCGGGAATTAAAGGCTGCAGAGCGGGAGCTAAAGGCTGCAGAGCTTGAGCTAAAGGCTG